CACACACACACACACACACACACACACACACACACACACACACACACACACACACACACACACACACACACTGAAAAACATAAGCAATGCCAAACAATTCACATATTTGTAAAATGTTTGAAACTTTATAAAGGTTCTACAAAGCACTTTATATGGTGCTTCTGATTTACCCAATGGTTCATAAAGTATACAAACWAAAGTATTTGGACACAAACGACCACCACACCAACATGAACAGTGTGGCGTTAGTGCCTCTTCTGCAGGTCCAACAACTTTTGCTTCTATTGAAAGGCTTTTCACAAGATTTTGGAGCACTTCTGTTGGAATTTGTGCATTTTGATTCTGTAGAATACTCATGAAGTCAGGCCTCTATCTCTGTTTCAGTTCAACCCACAGGTGTTCAGTGAGGCTGAGGTCAAGGCTTTGTGTTGTCCAGTCATGTTTCTCCACACTGAACCAATAAGACCATGTAGTCCTTGCTTTGTGCAGTGCAGCACAGTTGTGTTGGAGCAGAAATGGGCCTTCCTGAAAGTGTTGGAAATAGCGTTGTTTGAAATGTCTCAGAATGCTGAAGGATTAATACATGTATTGTTCCTCACTGGATGTAAAGAACACAGTCAGAAGCCTGATTGGAATACACAAATTAACAGTGGTCACCAAATACCTTTTCCCATATAGTGTGTGTATAGGCCAACCCTTTAACCAACGCTTTAGCCTACCAAATTGAGATATTTTAGGGGTACGCTGCAATGAAAGGATATAAGCTGTGGTAGCTATAATTGTCAATTGTCATAAGTGCAATTTTTGTGTTAAAAATTCCAGCAGGTTCAAACAAGGAGAACTGGACTTTATTTTTAGAAATTTTACTTCTCATTTGAGGAGCTTCTGCTAAGTTCTTACTTTTTAATCTAACAAAGACTCTAAAATAATCAGGAGGGAGGAGAGGGAGATTGAGCTGTATAAGTTTAGCTTGAAACAAACAAAGCAGCTCACTCTAGTTTTAAAACTTAAAACTCTGCACTTTTCAGTTTCGATTAAGAACACAAAGTAAAACATTTTTTAAAATAGGACAATCATCCCCTGAATTTCTGAGATTCATGTCACACAAACCACTGTAATGTCTGGTTAAATGCATTCTGAGACATTGGCAGTTATCTTTAATAAATAATTATTTAGCAAAAGTAGTGACAAAACTACAGTTTATTGTCACAAGAAAAAACTAATTACAAAATAAAAATTTAAATAATATAACTGCCAACAATTTGATAATGAATGACAATACTAATTTAAAACAGTGACAATGTAAAATTTAAAACACAGGCATTGCTGACATGATATCCGTTATCGTATTTTTTTTCCTAAAAGCATTCAGTGAAATAAGCTCTGACAATTTTACTTCAGCTTGCAAGGCATTCCAAGCAAAGGGGGCAGAAAGACTAAAAGCTTTCTTTTTCTTTTCAGTTTGCACACGAGGAACATAGAGGTGAAAACGATCCTTGGAGCGCAGGGCATAAGTGCTGTCTGTTCTCTGAATAAAAGTGCATAAATAATTAGGAAGCAGGCCTGTTAGGGACTTTTGTTTCTGACTCCAATCAGTTTCACAGCAGAACACCGTAAACAGGCCTCAGAGTAAAAAGGCCATCATCATCTCTGAAACCCAAACAAACAGTAGCCCAGATTGTCCCAGGCTGCTCTTTCTAACCTCTATAATTTAATTTTATTTATTTATTTAAAAGCACAATGCACATTAATCAATATTCTGTGAATATAAATGCGTCGGAATTAGCACAACAGCTAAATTTCATCCATAGTCCTGCACAGATAAAAATGTAACAGTTCATAAAACAAGTGCACAAAACAGACAAAATTCAACACTGCCCAACAAATACACAATCTCCTCAGTCTACAAGGTATACAGTTAAATTGTGTTACAGATGAATGCATGACTGATTTTCTTTCAGCCAAACTTCAAGTTTCTTTTCAAAAAGGAATAACTATCAGTCTCTGATATTTGCAGGTAGTTCATTCCATAAGAGTGTTCCTCTGATAGACGTGACCTTTCGACCAAACTCCGTTCTCCGTTTTGCGACAAAAATGAATTGAAAATAATGATAATAATGAATTGATCTTATAATGTATGTCTCTTCCTGGTTCCACCCCTGGAGGTGTTACCTTTTATGTCAGATGTTAATGTAACCAGCTTTTGTTGATGCTCGAGAGAGAATGATCAGAAAGTGTAAAATACAAAATTGCCTCTAACATTATATTATAATAATTATTGATAGTTTGATTCATTTTCTCTCACACACTTAAACA